CCGGCCGCCCCCTCCTCCGCCCCGCGCCGGATCGAACCCCTGCGCTCTCGCCGGCGTCGGGGCAGACGGTGCCGCCCGAGCGTTGGAAATCGGTCGTGGGGAAAAGAGAGCGGATCGATTAAACAGCGGCTGAGAATCGCGAAGGGCCGGGTGCCCCCTGCTTGCCTTCCCCCTCCCCTCCGCCCCCGGCTGCGGCCCCCGGGGCAGCGCCGTGGCGATGAGTTTGCCGTTCTCAGCACGCGGCGGAGCGGGGCCGGAGCGGCTGCCGGCAGCCTGCGGGAAGGAGACAATCGAAAGGCGGCCGAGGAAACCGGGTCTCTCTCTCCCTGCCCCGGTAATCCAACGGGACGATTTTTTCGGGGCATGCGGGGGTCCCCTCCCACCCCCCGAAGAACCTCTTCCCCCGGGGGACCGTGCCCAGCCCGCAGCCGGGCCCGCGGCGAGGGGCGGAGGGGAGGGGGCAGGAGCCGGGGGGCCGGGGAAGCCGGCAGGGACCCCTCGGGAAAAGCCGCGGAGCAGCAGCCTGGGCCGTGCGGGCTCCGGCGCGGAGCTCCCCACCGCGCCCGCGGTAGGAAAGGGAGGCCGGCGGGCTCGGCCCGGCGCGCAGGCGGTGTACGAGGGGGCCCGCGGATTCTGCGCGCTCCTTCTCCTCCCGGAGCTGGGGGGGGCTCTTACCGTGGTGCGCCCACCGCGCACACGCGTGACCGCAGCCAGCTTGCAGCCCTGCTCCGCGGGGATGGGGTGCCGGGGGAGGCTTTCGGCAGGTGTTTAAAGAAAAAGAAAAAACAAAATCTGCCTGCCCCGCAGCAGAAGCAACCCGCCCGGGCCCCCGCCAGCCCCTCCACCGGGCACCTGCAGCGGGACAGGCCCGCGCACGGCCTGCGGCTCCCCGCCGCATCCCCCCGTGGCTCTTCCCCGCTCCCGTCGGGCCCCCGGGGAGCGGCCCGGGGGCTGCCCCGGTGGCCTCTGCCTCCGCAGGCTTTGAGCCAGAAAGGACGAGGGGCTGGCAGCACTAGGGGGGTCGGACGAGGTGCCCGCGGGGCTGCGCGGCTGCCTGGTACCGGCGGGAGAGCGTCCTCCCGGGCCCGGGCGGGTGCAGGCGTGCGGGTGGGGAAGGAAAGGCAGGAGAAGAAAAGCAGAAGAAAACGAAAAGGGAGAAGGAGAAGAAAACGAAGAGGGAGAAGGAGAAGAAAAAGAAGAAGGAGGAAAAGAATAATAAAAAGAAAACGAAGGAAGCAAAGAAGAGGGAGAAGGAGAAGAAAAAGAAGGAGGAAAAGAGAAAACGAAGAAAGAAAAGAAGGAGGAGGAAAACAAAAATAAAAAGAAAATGAAGAAGTAGAAGAAGGAAAAGAAGTAGAAAGTGAAGAGGGAAAAGAAAGGAAAAAAAGAAAAAAGGGAAAAGAAAATAAAAAAGAAAAAGAGGAAAAGAAAAAGGAAAGAGGAAAATAAAAATAAAAAGAAGAAAACGAATTAAAAGAGACGAGGAAAGGGCAGGGGGCTGCGGGGAGCCGGGCAGGGCGGGGCCGGCGGGGCAGCCGGCAGGCCGGCGCAGGTAGGGGTGCGGGCGGGGG